AAAAAAAAAGGAAAAAAAAAAAAAAAACACTTTCATATAAGATTACATAAAGATTGAAAATAAAAAGAAAGCAAAAACATTGATTATTTATTTGTTGTATACTATAAGATATCTCTTCTACTCTTGACGTTCTAATAAAGCTTCAATGACTCGATCTAGATTTCCTTCATACAAGGTTAACAATTCAAAATATTGATCTTCATCTCGCCAGAATCCCATATCGTTGAGAGTTTTAATTTCCTCGTAATAAGGACCCGTTGCGTCAGGTTCAGTAGGTTCAGTAGATACAGTAGGTTCCAAAGCTAGAGTGAAAATTTCTCCTCTTGTATCTTCTCGAGCCTCTTCGTCTCGAGTTTCTTCTCGTACTTCTTCACGAGCTTCATCGCGTCTTCCTTCTCTATGTTCATCATGATCGCGATGACGACGGCGGGAACCGCGACGAAGATTTCTTGGAATACTCTGAGATCGATGTTCGCTTCCTCTTACATTTTGACGCATTTCAAGTGAATCGGATTCAGGACGTGCTTGACTAGCCCAAGGGCAAGGGGTAGATTTTTGTGTTACTGGAAAAGATCCAGGAAGTGATGGTGGTGGTGAGACTTGACGCGTAAAAAACAAAGGTGGATGATCGTCAAAGAAAGTATCACGTCCTCGTTGTTGGTCTTGATCTTGCGATAGGCGATTGTTAAACAAAGGAGAATGATCGCTAAAGAAATTAATTTCCCGAGATTGATTATTATCTTGTTGTTCGCCTTGACCTTGCGATTCTTTCTCTTGTAGGTTATCCTGTGATTGATTTTCTTGCGTGTTTTGTATGTTTTTTTCGATTATAGAACGAAGAAATTGATCCATCATTTCTCCAGCAAGTTTATGATCCTTTACAACATCTTTTTTGAATTGATCAAGCATTTTTTGAAATTGATCAGCAAGTTCGGATACAGTAGGTGTTTTATTATCTTGATTATTTAACGGTGTCTGTTCCAAAGAGGAAGGGAAAACATTATTCGAAGAAGATTCTCCAATTATTTCCTTATGTTTGCCTTTGTCTTCTTTGTCTTTGTCACCTTTTCCTCCTTCGACTTCTTCGAAATATTTATCTAGGTCGTCTCTGCCAAGATAATTAGATGTAGGTAAGAAATTTAAAGAACCAAAGTCACCCTTATCTTCTTTACGTTCCTTGTCTTCCTTTTCTTCCTTGTCTTCTTCGTCATTAAGAGTGGGTGAGAATTTTAAAGAGCCAAATGATCCAATCTCATCATCCAAGGAAGTCTTTTTGCTTGATGATGATTTGTCTTCATACAAAAGGGATACGGGTTGAATTGACGAACTTTCTTCTGAACCAATTTTGAAAAACTGCGCCTCTTGATTTGTAGTGCTGATAACATTCTTTTGTGAAACATTTTCAGGATTGTCGGGATTGTCAAGATTGTCAAGATTGACCGTAAGAGCGCTTTGTGGAGGAGTTTTTACACCTTCAAACACCCAAGCTTCATTATTAGAATCTTCACCGTCACTTGAATCACCAGTTGAAAATTTCAAATCAAATTTGATGTATGAAGCGGATAATTGAGAAGAGAGAACTTCTTGAAATTCCATATCAGTTGAAAGCGTGATTACATCACCGTCTTCATCGACATAAGAGAGAGTAAAAGTAGTTGATGTAGGGATATTATAAATATTACGAAGCTTTGCTTCCAAACCAGTCCAAGTTGCGTTGTTGGTAGGAAGTACAAAACGACGAACCGTCTCTTTATAAGTTACTTTAATATTAACCATGTTTATTTATTTAATTTTTTTTTTTTTTTCGTTTTCCTTTAGAAAAAAAAAAAAAAAAAAAAATAGTTTTTTGAAGGGATGAAATGAAAAGAAAAGAAAAATGCGTGGGTAAAAAACCCATTCTACTCTTATTTATATAATAATTTGTATACTTCATTGTTATGATTGCCAAGATACCGGAGTTAACCGGAATTTATATAGTTACATTAAGTTTAGCCGAATGGTATGATTACAAAACACCTCAAAATGGATTTTCCTAAAAGTCTGGATTTAAAACGTAACCCATGGTTAACTGAATACGTATGTATTTTTGGAAACGCACGTGGCCCCATTACGTGTCCTTCTACGTTCGGTTACCTTCTTTATCCTTTTCGTTAGAGAAATAAAAATAATATTGTTATGTAAAACTTTCAAACGTATCCATGATAGATTCTATCGTTTTGAATGTAGATCGCTGATGACGTTAGAAATTCTCACGTGGTTCTTGATCATTAAAGGAAAAGGGCAGCTCATTATGAATTTTTTATTTGTATATATTATTTTTATTATTTTTTAATGTCAAAGATAGCGATGCTCATGAAAGAAATAAAACAAAAAAAAAAACATTACATTTATTTCTTTCATTTTAACGTATGGTTAAAAATCAAAAAGTATCAAAACATTAACACGTGACGCAAAAAAGTTGTGACCAATGAATAAAGTAGCCAAAAAAAAATATATATATATATATAACCTGATAGCCTGGACCACCTAAACCGGATCCGGTCGGGATCAGATTCGGTCTTTTTGATGCCCGAATTCAGTAATAACTCGTAAGCTAGGTGTGTAAAACGACATCCTATTAATTGAATATTAAATAGAAAAAAAATCCTATTAAAACATCAAACTTACCGTCAAACTACTCGAATAGACTATCTTTATTAACATTCGACCCGATTATTGTGTTACTACAAATTCATGCAATAAATAAATGAATTATTAAAATTAATCATTCTCCATTTTTTTATAAATATTCGGTACTAAAACGAAAACTTTTTTCTTACAAAGAAAATTAAGAGAAAGGATCATATTTATCATGTCTTCTCCTTCAAAGAAAATTGATATCAGTGAAAATATAAAACGAAGTGCTGAACGTACAATCATCCTAAATGTTGGAGGAATCAAGGTAAAGTAGGGGAAAAAAAAAAAACAAATAAAAAATTAATTCAATCATTTTCTTTTTTACATCAGATGATATCTAACGTTACGAATTTTTTTTTTTTTTTTTTAAAAAAAATAAATTATCAAAAATATCTATAGTATGAAACGTACGCTTCAACTTTAACATCATATCCTGATACATTATTGGGAACAATGTTTCAAGATAAAAATCGAGCATTACTTCACCCACAAGCTGGCAATACGTATTTTTTTGACAGAAATGGGTATGCTTTTAGATATATAATGGAATTTTATCGTACCGGTAAATTATTGTTAAGTGAACGTGATAAAGATAAGGTTACTTTTGTAACCCTTGATGAAATTGAAAAAGAAATTGATTATTTTCATATTCCCGTTACTGAAGAAGAAGATGTTGTTGAATTTGATGACGATAATTTGATGATCGAAAAACAAACCAACAGCAGAAACAAAAATAATGTTCATCATCCTTCTCCTGCTTCCGTTTTAATACATAAACATGCTGGAGCTAAAGTTGATCAATTTATTAATGCTTTGGAGAATTTGATTTATGAAGCTATGGGTAACTTTGAAGAATGGATCGAATTGAAATTTTTTTCAACCATTCTTGATGTTGAAACTTATTGGAACGAAACGGAACCAACTTTAAAATTCTCTTATATACCTATCATTAAACCTTATGGTGTAATAGGTTATTATATTCTTGAAAAATTTTCTAAAGAGATTCAATCATATTTTGAAACTACAATGCAAAGTATTTCTTTTCAATCTGATCAAGTTACTGGTGAATTAACTTCTATAGGAAATTGTACTAATTATTATAAAATTTCTATCAACATTAAAGATAATTATACTAAAGAAGATATCATAATACATACTAGATTAGACAATTATAGAGTCAGTTAACTGATATTGATGTCTTTTTCTTCTTTTTTATAAAAAGTTACAAACACTTTATTTTTGTATATTAATAATCAATCTACAATTTAAAAGATCAAATGATTTTTTTTTTAAATTAATATTACTATTTAATTTATGTGTGTATATATAATATATATATAAATATAATATATACATGCATATCTATATATTTGTTTTTTTTTTTTTGTTTTTATTTATAAATGAAAGGATAATAATTTATAATATGTAAGTATAAATTTCATATTAATATATTTTGATTAAGAACATTATTATAAATCTCAATATAAGCCATCCTATGCATGTTAAAATTGAAGTGATTAACAGTATATCAATTTATTTATTTATTTATCAACAGATCAGGGAGAGTAATATATTTTATTATTTATATAGTTATTAATAAATCTAAATTTTACATAAAAATCATTATAATGATATCTGTATTAATACTTTTAAAATGATTCATAATGCTTAAAATATCAATTTACTCACCTATTTCAATATCATTAACTGTATAATTATTTATTCCTTACCAACTTTCATATTTCCCTTCTCTTTGTTATTCTCACCGGTCATCTTTGCAGTCTTTGCTCCGAATTGTATAGCTCTTTTCCATAAAGAACTTGCATTAAATAGTCCTAATTGTCTCGCTACATGACGTAACAAAAGTTTTTCTCCAATCCCTCTTTCATACCTCATATCCATTTTAGTATGCATAGGCAATGAACATAAGAAAGACACAACATTTGATGCGAGATAAGGAAACCTTGATTCTTTAGAGTGTGAAGAAATTATCCTATCATCTCTGCCTAAAAAAGAATATTTATGAGAAAAAATTCTTTCTTTTCAAACATCATTCGTTTCAATATATTTATTAATTAATTTAGGTTCCTTTACCTAAATTTCTGGTTGAGATTCTATCAACATCCAGTTGTATCTAAACAATATTATTGATAAGATAGAAAATTGTTTGATTTTATTTTTAATATAAAAAAGAAGAAAAATTCAATTACCTCTTCAATTAGTTTTTGCCAACCACCGTGCCTAAACGCCTCACGGTGTCTTGAATATCCTCCCAACAACTCATCTGCTCCAACTCCTACGAGTATAACTCTAGCTTTGCTTTCATAATCAATCATTACCTATTAAAAATATAAATTAAAATTAACAGCTTATAATAAGATAAGGCTTACTATATAATATAATAATAAGTTTTTTAACCTCCGGATTTTCTGAACTGGAAATTTGACCTGTAAAATATAAAGGTTACTGGCGCGTCAAATATGCTTTGCAACTTGCAAAATCGATGAAATGAATTTCATCATACAAACCCTTTCCGCGAACTGCAAACCAAAAAGCCATCGCTATGCTCTATTTTATTAAAAAGATAAGTCATACTAATATTTTGTTTATTTATTTCATGCGCCTCCGACTTACCAAATCCATAATTGTATCTGATGGAGCCATTACTTCCGTTATTTCGATCTTAAAAGCACAAGCTTCTTCATATGGGACATTCACTTCTACAAAGTTCCATATACGATCAGGTGCTATTTTCCTATATATAAATCTAAGTCGTTTATAATTTTTTCATGAATAAATAATAAAATTCTTCTCGGTACCTCAATTCCTCAACTCCTTGTATTCCCGTCAACCTATCCGGAACATTATAAATAGATTTCTTAGGAACATCTTGAGAAATCTTTTTCTTTTTATCTTTCTTTGCTTGCTGAATCCTTGGATTTTCAAACCCTACATTCAATAAATCAATTGCTTCTTCCTTTGGAATATATTTATCTGCTAAAACAGCAAGGCAGATACAATCTAATCCTCCAGAAAACATGATAGCCACTCTAGCATCCGAAATTGATCTAATAATACACGAGAAAATTGGGTTTTTTTTTTATTTTTATAAAATAATCTCCTCTTGAATAAATAAAGATTTTTAAAGCCAATCATTTATTTACCTTGTACGTGGAATATCTATAACGCGTCGTTTTACGGAATCTCCCAATTCTTCGATTAGTTTATCTATAGCTGCTTGGATTTCAGGTGATATGGCTGGAATGAAAGAATGATTGGATACGTCTAATGGATTCGGCAATTGAGGTAGATCTTCAGAGCCTGGAAGAGTGTCATTAACTCTGCCAAAAGGTAAAGTCTACCGATTCGAAATTTGTTTGATCAATATATTTCGTTTAATTCGTTAATTTGGCCCATTTAAAATATCTATAGATTCTTGCCATCACACACGACGAATCATTGACTGATTCATTTACTTCATGCCATTTGTAATGTGTCAAGAAATTTTCCAGAGATTCTTCGAAGTTAAAATAGAATGTTAAATTATTACTACGATAATAGATTATATAAATAAAAATAAATAAAAAATATAAACACCTAATGAAGCCAGTGACAACATTTTATTTAAATCTAAACAGAATATACCGCTAGCTGGAACTTCTGCAAAATAAGGTAATGAAGTAGATGCTTCTGAGGCTTGTGAAACTTTACATCCTACAGATGTTAATATGAAATTGTCATCTCCTTCGGAAGGTAAATGCCATAATAAAGAACGTCTTCCCAAGCAATCTCGTCCAAACCATAATTTACGTTTTGAATTCTACATTCAAAGGTTATTAAGATTATAGATATTCGAATCGAAAACAAAGAATGTAAATATAAACCTGCCAGTACACAATCGCGTATGGTCCTTCGATCTTCCGAAGAATCTCAAGTATCTCATTATTTTGATCCTTATCATTTTCAACCTTGTAACTTTCTTTCAAAGCTGCAAAGAGATATTTTGTATCATTTTCTCCAGGTGGAACCTAATAAACATAAATGAAAGACAACATGATGCTTTATATCAAGTAAATTATAAAAATTCCTTTGGCATATACATTATCTTACCTCAATACCATCAAATATTTCCCCGTTCCATAATAACACATCTTGTTCATCGTTATCTATCAAAGGTTGTTTATTAACAGTAGGTCCTCGTAAATGCAAAACTGCGCCATAAAATATTAAATTGATTTCGAATGAAGTGGTAAATTGGATTGATTTAGAGAATTTCCCTTGAATGTCCGGTCCTGTAATTATTAAATACGATATGACTTAGATTAAACATACAGCATTAAGCTTTATAGGGAAAAATTGAATTGGATGATGAACATCGATAATCAATCATAAAATTACCACGTTGTTTATTTCGAATAATCAATTGATTCCACAATTCATCGTGGAATGAATCATTTATGACAGATTTTTGTAATCGAAATAATATGCCACACATTTTATATAAAATATAACAAAATTAGTTGATAAATAAATGATATAACATTATAATATAATTCCTATTATAAAACAATGGAAACGTATATTTAAAGGTTAAATTCGTTTTTTTTTTTTTCTAAAATTGAATTCTAGTTCGAAATTTGATCAACTTTAATAATCGATCCGTGTTACATTACCTACAATACGCCACGATCAACGTATCCGCCACGATGCCATTGTTCTTTTATTTAATAAGTTTTTGTCAAATCATATGAATTTATTGCTATTATAGAAAGTTATGACTGTATTTAGCATTATGCAAGAATTTGCACACAGTTTCAAATTATGTTTGTAATGGTTGTCCGAACTTTTTTTTTCTCGCTCCCTATTCTATATATAATAAGTGATAATTACGTTCCTCGAAACACTTGAAAATTATAAACATAAGTTTTTATATATATATATATTTTTTTTAATCAAAAATAAGAAAATTCTTTGACAATGAATATACCTGAAAATGCTTCTAAACTTAGTTTGGATGAAATTTATGATAAAATGAAAGGTTGTATTTACGGTAAGTATCTTTTAATAAATATGAGATATTAATGTAAACTTTTATTAAATTTACCTGATATTTTCTTTAAATAAAAGGAGCTGCACTCGGTGACGCCATAGGGTTGGCCGCGGAGTTTATGTCAAAAGCAGCAGCTAGAAAATTATACGGTATTGGCCCAATAGCATTTGGATCAGAGAAAGGTTATGAATTTTACATTGATCAACATCGAGGAAGATGGGATGACGGTGATTGGACCGATGACATGGGTAAATTAAAAATTAGTAAAGTACACTTCTTTGTAATCTATCTAAAGGTATTAAAATGTGTTCAATCTAGATCAACAGCTACTTATAATTGATTCATTGACTGCGACAAATGGATTATTTAATTCTCGTGATTTTGCGCGTCGATTGCATAAATGGGTTAATCATGGATATCCGGAACTTGATAACAAGCCTCCTAATGGCTTAGGTAAGTTAACTCAACTATCAAAATCGAAATCAAAAAAATATATGTGTTTGCTCATAATTCTTTATTAGGATTAACTGTTGGATCAGTATTGGAACATCCCAAGTTTGAATCTAAACCACATCGCGCAGCTTGGGACGTATGGGTTAAATTTGATCGTAATATGGCGGCCAACGGTGCACTGATGAGGACTGCGATATTAGGTGTCCCATCCTTTTGGGATGAAAAACAAGTGATAAAACAAACCTTACAGGCAACAAAGGTTACTCATGCGGATCCAAGATGTTGTATATCAAGTATAATCGTAACAATATTAATTTCGAGATTATTAAAAGATAATATGCAAGAAGTTCTACCTGATCTAGACGATGAAACAAAAGGAGAGATTTTGAAATGGACGCAATCCGGAAATCCCGATAATCGACCAGATTTTGATATTGATTCAGGAGATCCTCCATCGACAACTAAAGCGCGTTCAATTAATAAAGATACAACGAAAAAGAAAAATATTATTAGTAAAGTAATTAATAAAGTTGGTGATTCATTAAAGGGAAAAAAATCTGACAAAAGATCAGAATGGTCGAATTATGGAAGAAAAAGTAAAGATCAATCGAAACACAAATCTCGTGAAGACGCTAAAATTCCTGAAAATCTTCCGCCTGGGATTGAAACATATGGAGCTGATCCTATGATATTATCATTAACTCGTGCTGTTGTGGATCGTTACAAATTTATTGTCAATTCAACTCCCGTTGAGCAACAACCTGATGGACCACAAAATTCACGAGCTCTTAAAACTGATATTGGTGAAAAGGCACTTTTACAACATTGTTTTCCTGAAAATTTAACGGCTCTTAAATTAGACGAATCATCTTCTATTGGATATGTTTATAAATGTCTTGGATCAGCATTATATTGTTTTACAAGGAATTTGAATCAACAATCAGATGAGGGTGAAGCTTTTAAGAAAATTATTACCGAATTGGCATTAGAGGCTGGGTAAATAAAAAAAAAATAATATATATATTACTGTAAATACTTTTTTGAGATTAAATGGAAGCTTTATTAACTTTACTAAATAAATTTCAGTGATTCTGATACAAATGCTACAGTTGCTGGAGCTCTGTTGGGTGCTAGAATTGGATTTAAAAAATTACCTAAATCTTGGGTAGAAGGATTAAAATTTAATTCATGGTTAGAAGATAGGGTGAATGGTCTTTGGGCTATAATCTCTGGTAAAGAAGATTGGGTTGAAGTTGACGATGAAATTTTACAAAGTTAATTCATTAATAATTTAACATTATATATATAATATAAATGAATGCATTTGTAATTTTGTTTGTATTATTTAAGAAAGATCTTGTAAAAGTAATGTTTTAATAATAATTTACCAATAAATTATTAATTTTTATAATTAAATTTCTATTATGATCATTCAATAATTATTATATTATTCTCAAATTTTTTTTTTAAAAAAAAAAATCAATTATCTGGATTTAATGATCTTCTGTTTAAAGCTCTTTGTCTTGCGGCTTCAATAGCTTCTAATTTCTTTCTTTTCATTTCTTCTTCGTCTATATAATTGCTTTCTTTCCCAATACTATCCACACTTTCATCATCGACTTCTTTCTCTTGTTTATCCTTTTTATTATCGTCAACACCCAAATCCACAGTTTCCAATTTCTTAAATAATTTCAATTTTTCTTCTATCCATTCTAATTTAACTTTACTAACGACTTTCATTAAAGCCTTACTCGTATATAAAATGGAATGGTATATTACCCAATCTAAACTATCGACTTTAACAATTTTATTTTCGGGATGTAAAGCTGATAAAGGTGAAATATGTAAAGCCAATAAAGAACTATTAGAATCTATCATTTCACTAGTATGTATATTAGCTGAAGCATAATGATAAAATACGGATCTATGTGGATGCCTTTTTGCTAAATGAATAAAATATGATGTAGAAAATGCTTCAAGAATTTTTGTAAAATCGTATTTTTTTGTTTCATAATAGGTTTGTTTACTACGTTTTTTTCTATGATCACCATCTTGATTATCCTTTTGCCTACATGAAATAATCGAAACCCCATGTCTTTCCATTAATTCACGTAGTTGATCCCGAACATTTTTTGCCATAGATAAAGCTCTATGATTTAAATATCTATCTCTACACCAATCTCGATCATATCCACTATCACGATATCCTTCAAAAACTTGAAGTAATGTCATATAATCTCCTGAAGAATGATAAAATACTTTTCTTCTTTCATCCGCCTCAAATAATCTTTCTTCATCTCTCGGTGTAATAAATATTTCTTCAACTGATAACATTGCTACAATCGTTGAAACTTCCCTACTACAGCCAAATTGTCTTGCACTTGCTATTAAAACCCTTGATAAAAATGGATTTAAAGGAAATATACACATTTCATCTCCTAAAGGTGTTAACATTCCTTGTTCATCAATTGCTTCTAATAAAAAGAGTTGTTTTAAGGCGTTCTTAACAAGCATTGGATCGGGCGGATCAATAAATTCAAAATGAAGAATATCTCTGATTCCCATTTTCTTTAAACTTAACACTGTACCAAGTAAACTACTCCTTTGAATTTCCGGCACTGTATCAACTTCCAATTGTTCAAACGATTCTCTACTATATAATCTAAATGCTTTTCCTGGTGCAGTCCTTCCTGCACGACCCGCTCTTTGTGTTGCCGCAGCTTGTGATATTGGCACAACTAAAAGTGCGTCCATTCCTGTGCTTGGATCATATGATTTTTGTTTAACATATCCGCTATCTATAACGTATCTATATTGAATATAAAAAATAAATATATAATTTCTTAATAAGATAAAAAAAAAATCGTTTAACCTATTTACTTAATTCCAGGAATTGTAACTGATGTCTAAATGGAAAAAATAATAATTAGTGTTCTAGAACCTTATGTAATGTACCATTAATAAAGAATTACCTGAGCAATGTTTGTTGCAAAGACAACCTTTCTTGTACCTTCAGGAGGATCTTCAAATATGGCCTTTTGTTCCATAGTCTCCAAACTAGCATAAATTGGAAATACAATTAAATTTCTTACCTCATCATAATATTGTACATCCCGTCTGTAATTTAATTCTCGTGCTTGATTATCAAGATCTCGACATGACTTTTCTATTTCATTTTGTCCAGTCAAGAAAACTAAAATGTCACCTGGCGGCTCGTGAGTATGAATATATAATGTTGTGTCAACAGCTCTTTGAACATATGTTGATTTTAGACTAATAATTTTTGCGTCTCTATGATGATTTATTGCTACCTCATAAGTTCTACCCGGAATACTAAAAATTGGACATTCGTTAAAAAAATCCGAGAATTTTTCTACATTTAGGGTTGCAGACATTACTAAAATTTTTAATTCCGGACGTAAACGATGTGTTTCTTTTAATAATCCGAACAATACGTCGGTTTCCAATGTTCTTTCATGAGCTAATTTTAAAATTTTTTTTTTTTTTAAAATAAATAATAAAATTAATTTAAAATCCTTGAATATAAATTATCGGCCAAGTAATATTGAATACCTTCATCTATAATGATTACATCATAATGCTCTAGCTTGGGATCAAGTGTTGCTTCTCGTAATAAAACACCATCCGTCATATATTTTAATCTAGTTTTTGCTGAAGTGCAATCATCAAATCGAATGCAATATCCTACTTCACTTCCAAGTCTAGTGCCATGTTCCTCCGATACTCGATTAGCGACTGTAATCGCTGCAATTCGTCTAAAAAAAATTGATCATTTAATATTTGTTCTTATTAAGCGGGTTAAAACATTATAAACATAGAACCTTGGTTGAGTAACTCCTATTAATCTACAATCCTCGAAACTTTCCAAGATATATTGAGGAATTTGCGTTGTTTTACCAGAACCTAATGAATTCATTTATTATTTCACCGATTATTTATACAATATTAATAGTAATGTGAAAATTTTACCTGTTTCTCCAATTATAACAAGTAAATTTTCATTTTTTATTGCATCAATAATTTCTTGTCGAAAATGAAAAATTGGTAAAGATTCTCTTTGTTTAATAATCCTTGAATTAACCATAATTATTCTTTGAAATTTCAAAGAAAATAGTGAAGTCTTAAAAATTTGTGAATCAAAATATTTTACGGTATCAAATACGGAAACCTCTCTACAATCACACCCTTCAGTGTGATTGCATAGAGGTGTGCTTAATATTTACGTAATAGGCCTCTGATCAAAATGAAATTTTATACTAGAGTCCACGGATTCGTGCATTTGCATAATTTCGCATTTATGCACTATAATTCCGCATCACACATGCATCGCACTTTTAAGGCAATTTTATCATTTTTTGCATTTTTCATGTGATCTATTATGTATTTCTCACCAATTTTTTGAAAAACATAAATTCCCATTCTGCTTTACCATTATTCAATGCAATTCAATGTTTTAACCCTCAATTTATTCAATTATTTCAAAATAAACATAATTTAACTAATTATAATCTTAGAAATTTTGAGAAAAGTAATTTGAATTTAAATTAATATTGGTAAGAAAAAAAGAATTTTTTCAAATATATGATTACCTATTTTAGAAGTTAATATTAAACATAGTTTTTCTAATTATAAAAGAATTTTAGATGATAAGAATACTTTCAGAAAATTCTATTGAAATGTTAAAATTATTTATATTATAATAATCAATAAAATAATAAAGTATATTTTTTTACTATATAAAAAATTTTATTTGCATATTTTGCATTTTTAGTAACATTAAAATGCATATTTTTATTTTTGTATTACACGAAACTGTGGGCTCTATTTTATACTTTTTTTAGATCCTTTCAGTTCTGAAATTTAAACGATTATTTTATTTGTCTTTTATTTCTTCTTTTCGTTCCTTTAACATTTTTAAATTTCTAATAATCCTTTTTTTTTTAAATACAAGAATAGAATCAACTTAAACCGAATTGAGTAGGACCATCTTTAGTTTTTATGTGAAAATTTAAAATTTTTTTAATTTTACTATGATTTATTATAATAATTGAATGTAATTAACTGATTTATCACATGATAATGTGACTATATAAAGAGAAATTACTTATATTAACTAATATATCAGTTTAACAATTAGTATGATGGTGATTATAATTAATATGTGATTATAAAGGGAGTATTTTATATTAAAAAAAATCAGAATCAAAAAGAGGTATTATTATAAAGGGATTAACTTTAAAGAGGGTTAACTGTATATATTTACTTATAAGAAGGATTTTTATGTACTGCACAAAATACATGGATGCATATATTTTATAAAAAAAAGTATTAAATTTAAAATTTTTATGTATAGCATAAAAATTTATTAAAATTTTAATAATACATAAATTTATTTGTATTTATATTATACAATTACATTTAAATCATTACTATACATTAACAATTATGATAAAATTATATTTTATAGATTAAGGATGCTATTTATAATCTTCTTTTCTTTTGATTTGATTTGATAGTATAAATATTTACTGAAACCTTTTTAAATAATTTTATAATACCCTTTTTTATATTTTTTAATATAGTTTTGAAAGTTTCAACTTTTATTTTATTGAAGAGTTTTATTATATTTCTTATTATAAGTTTTAGTACTACAACTATTTGCAATCTTTTATGCTTATTTATCACTAGTTACAACTAATTGCAATTCAATTTTTATTAATATTACAATTAGTTATAATCCTATAATATTTATTTATCACCAGTTACAATTAGTTGTAATATTATCTTTAGTAATAATATTTAGTATAATAATATAATTTATCTATTAATATAGATAAGAAATAAAACTTTTTAATAATAGTCAAAATTTAAATAATCTTTAAATATTATATAACTTATACTTATTTTAATTTTAACTACTAGTAATTTTATTAGATTATTTAAAATTTTTGAAAGTTTTTTAATTCTTATTATTCTTAATAATCTTTCTTTAGGATATTTAATTATAGGATTTTCAATTTGATTGATATTTTTCTGATCAACTTTCAATTTAGCTTAATTATCTTATATTAACTCTAATGAATCACAATTTTTTTTTGACAATATTTTTAAATAAAATAATATCATCATATTATAAATTTTGTAAGCAATTTTAATTTAGCTTATTTAGCTAATTCATATATATTAGTATAATATAAGTATTATTTGTTAAGAAAAAAAATATGATTATAAATATTATTATTTAAAAAATTAAGAAAA